TTAAGAGCACCAACTGCTCTTGCAGAGGACCCAGGTTCGATTCCCAGCACCCACATGGCGGCTATGAACCATCCTTAACTCCAGTTCCAGGGAAATCCAAAGCCCTCTTCTGACCTCCATGGCATTGCACGACATGGGTGCACTCACATGCATGCAGGCAATACACTCACACATAAAAATAATAAATAAAATATTTTTTAAAAGGTAAGTCTAAGTCAAACTGGCCGAAAACTAGAAATTTTGGTTCACACGAGTAAAATGAAAGTCCAAGGATAGAACCCAGTTTGAGACACAGCTGGATTCAGACTCTTCACACCTATAGTCTGTTTTTTCCCTGTCTAGAGTTTGCGGTGGCATTATCTCAGATAGACTGTCGGTGTGGTAGCCAAAAAGCCATTAGCAGCTGCAAGTTTACTTTTGGTCAACATAGAACCTCAATGGAAAAAAGAATTTTTTTTTCTTCTTAAAATGTCAACAAACATAATGAAATTGCCGTGAATTGCCCTTGTTTGGATCCACATGCAGACCAGAACCAGGCATTGCCAGGAGATGTGATAGGCTTGTTGACCAGCCCTCCATTGCTTGGTCACCTCTATCCACATCATGTGAACTGAGACAGGGAATGTGTGGTTTCACAAAAGGTAGGCATGGATTCTGGTACAAGAAGAAGGAATCTTGGAGAGACAATTTTTCTGCTAAAACAGCTTTCTATCTCTAAATATTTTCTTTCATTTATCATTTTATTTGTGTGTGTGGTGTATGTATGTGTCTCTGTGCACATGTGCATGCACTCTCATATACCCAGGGACCAGAGGTTCACACTGAGTGTCTTCCTCAGTTATTCTCCATCTTCATTTTTGTTTGGGGGTGGGGTTGTGGGTTTTTTGTTTGTTTGTCTTTTTGAGACAGGGTCTCTCTGTAGCCCCAACTGGCCTGGAACTCAATATGTAGACCAGGCTGGCCTAGATCTCACAGAGATCCACTTGCCTCTGTCTCCTGAGTGCTGGGATTTAAGGCCTGCACAACCATGCCTGGCTTCCATCTTAATTTTTAAGACGAGGTCTCACTGAACCTGAAGCTCATTGATTGGGTTTAGCTAACCAGTGAGCTCCAGGGATCTGCCTGTCTCAGCCTCCTCAGTGTAGGCTTACACAGGCACACTTTAAAGTGGGTGCTAGGGTTCCGAACACAGGTCCTCATGCTTGAGTGGCACTTTTCCCCCTGAGCCATCTCCTCAGCCCCATATTATATCTTTTAAATGGCCATAACATGCTTCCTGTGTATAACGCATGTTTTGTTTAGCCAATATTTAGATTATCATAGTATTTCCCCCTTAAAAACAACCTTTAATAAATCTTCCCTGTATCTCAGTCTCTCTATATATGCATAATTACTTTATTTTCTCTAGACAGAGACCTGGGGCTATGCATGTTTTAAGGTTCTTGATTTGTATCCTCAAAGTCATTTCACAATTATTGCTATTTTAATTCCCTCTATTATTGTGTGAGAGTGCTGGTTGGACCTTCCCCTTCACACTGGTTATTTAATGTGAATCTTAGAAACATTCTAACTATTGATCACAGATACTCTGGCTTTATTGTTATTGGGGGAAAAAAGTAAATTTCTGAATAAAATGTGTTTTTCTTGAGAAGGTAAGGAATAGAGATACTCTTTAATTGAGGTGTACAGGGGAGTAAACACTTGCTAAGAACATGCACTGCCACTGAGCTACCTTCCCAGTCCCTAAAGATGATTCTTTAGCTCTTTTCATTTCTCTTTATACAATTTCCATGTCCTGGCCTTAGAGGGGACCACTTCCTTAAAGGGAACAACCTACCTCCTCTTCCTCACTCATCTAAAACTTTCCAAATAAAAAAATGATCGCAAACACTTGTGATAAATCTTTTGGGCATAGTGGCACACCTGTAATTCCATCATTCAGGAAGTAGAAGCAGGAAGATCATCAGTTTGAGGTTAGCTTAAGCTACATAGCAAGACCATGTCTCAGGTAAAAGGAGAGGGGAAGGGGAAGATGGAGGGGAAGAACAGACCAAATATTCCAGTAGGTTCTAGTAGTTCATGTCAATATTTTATTCTGGGGCCAGAGAGAGGACTCAGCAGTTAAAGAGTGCTTGCTGTTCTTGCAGAGGACCTGAGCTGGGTTCCCAGCATCCACAAAGGGCAGCTCACAAACACCTATAACTCCAGTCCCAGGGAAATCCAAAGTCTCTGGCCTCTGCGGGCACCTGCACTCATGTACATGTACTCACAGACACACCCATATACATAACTAAAAATAAAATAAGGGGCTGGAGAGATAACTAAATGGAGTCCTCTCACAGAGGACTCTGGTTTGATTCCCAGCACCCTCGTGGGGACTAACAACTGTCTTTAACCCCAGTTCCAGGGGATCTGACGCCCTCTTGTGACCTCTGCAGACAATGCATGACACAGGTGCACTTAACATACAGGCAAAATACTCCTATACATACAATTGAAATAAATAAAATAAATTTAAAAAAATAAAATAAAGCTAAATATTTTATTCTAGGAGATTCAGTTTACATATGTTGGAAGTAAAAAGTCCATTATGTCAATCAGTTTTTGAACTGTAGGTTCATCACACACTGATCTTTGTTTGTTATACATCTACCTCTTAACCAGTGTGCACCACACCAGTGAGTGGTCTTCAGCCTGTTGTAAGTGTTGGAATCACCTCCAATCTAGTGAGTCCATCTCAGAGAGTAAGACCATGAATTCAAGAGATTGCAGGATAGCCTGATTTGTTTCAGAATCTGAACCAAAATTCCTCTAAGTTCCTGACAGGAAATGAGATGGTTTGGGGGCTAGAGAGATGGCTCAGTGGTTAAGAGCACTGGTTGCACTTACAGAGAACCTGGGTTCAATTCCCAGCACCCATATGGCAGCCAACAACCATCTGTACCTCCAGTTCCAGGGGATCTGATGTCCTCTTCTGACCTCTGTAGGCACTGTATGACATGGGTGTACTTAAGTACACACAGGCAAAACACTCATACACATATATTTTGGGGCTGGAGAGGTGGCTCAGCAGTTAAGAGCATTAACTGCTCTTGCAGAGGAGATCCCCAAAATCAGTTTAGAAATAGACTTTGAAGTCTCAAGAAAGTAATAAGAAACAAATTGAAACATTTCCTTTTATACAAAGTGTGTTGAGGGGCTGGAAAGATGGTTCAGCGGTTAAGAGCACTGGCTGTTCTTGCAGAGGACCCAGGATTAATTCCCAGCACCCACATGGCAGCTAACAACCATCTGTAACTCCAGTTCCAGGGGATCTGACGTCTTTTGACCTCTGTGGACATTGCACAACACAGATGTACTTACATACAGACAATACACTCATACACATTAAATTTTTTTAAAAAAGAAATGGTTTACCACTAATAAATTGGACTATGTCAACATCAAGGTCAGGCTATAATAATTTAGTGATGGTAATATTAGAAAACTTTGTTCTTTCAAAATTGAACATTGATTAGTGTTTCTGTCTGGATAATGACAGCTCATCACTCAAAAAGCATTCGGCTTACTCTTGGCTAGTCATTACTGATAATTTATGATGAAATATAAGAACTGTGATAGAAATAATCAGAAATATAAGAAGTACTTAATTTACTTTGCTTTTGAGAGAATTTGTGGCTTACAAAAATTAGGTATTGTGATTTTTCCCTCTTAAGTTGAAAATGTGTACATGCTCTCCTTCCTCAAAACCACACCTAAGTGTGAGAGATGCTGGGAAATTTAGTCTAGTTGCACTCTCAGGAGAAAAAAAAGTTTGTTAAACACACAGTGCTACAGCCACAAACAAACTGTACCTCTTGGCAAAGCACTTACTAATTTCCTTGACTTCAGATCTTTTTACTTTAGAAAATGAGACAAGCAAAGAATTCTTTTTCCTTTTTGTTAAGGTTATTTGTTATATTAAGAAAATTCTCTTGAGGTTGGAGAGTTGGCTCCACAGTTAAGAGTACTAGCTGTTCTTGCAGAAGACCCAGGTTTGGTTCCCAGCACCCACATGGTAGCTCATAACTGCCTGTAACTCCAATTTCAGGCAATCCATTGTCCTCATCTGGCCTCTAAGGGCACTCTATGCACATGATTCACATATATACATGGAGGCAAAATACTCATACACATAAAAATAAATCTTTTTAAATGATTTTTATACCAAAGCTTGATTCAACAAAGAATTCCACATATGATGAGAAATGAGAACTAAGAACATATTTGCTAGGCATTGATTACTTTATTTAAATGGTCCTGGAAAGCTAGGTGTGGTGGTCCATGCCAACACATGCTCTTCAAATTACAGTTTGGAAATTTCAGGTTACTTTTTAAGCACCTGGATTCAGGTCTTCAAATTACTTTAACCTGTTTTAACTTCTTTAATATGTTATTGGTTACCTGAACTTTTGAGACAATTATGTATAATACTGTTTTATGACAACATATAAATAAACTATGAAACATAACCTCTTTTTAAATAAAGAATGACTTTATATCTTAAAAACAAAATAGTAATCACATCATTAAATGTATTAGGCAGTATATCCATCAATATGACTATAGCTTGGCTCCTTTTCAGCAGAGATGTTGAGCTTACTAAAGAGATCTCAAAACAGCAAAACATATGCAGTACATTCACACATATATTATGTATAAGACGCACATGTCTGAGCCATTATTGATTTTAAAACACAAAGGTAGTTAAGTGCTGGGTATGGCTATGCATGCCTATAATCCCAGGACTTGGTAACTAAGGTAGAATGACTAGAAATTGAGTCCAGTATGGGCTACATAGTGAGACACTGTTGGGAAGGGAGACAATGAGTGATTATGCATTAATATTGATAGGTGGCATTGTTTCTTCTCTTACATTTGAAGGCTTTAAAAGGACTTAGTAAGAAAAACTTTTCAGTGTCATGGTGATATTTTAAAATGTGTGTTTTCTTTCTTTTTAGGACTTCCAATAGTAGTCAGACACTATCCTCCTGCCATACTATGGAGCCATGTTCATCGGATGAATTCTTTCAAGCCCTTAACCATGCAGAGCAAACGTTTAAAAAAATGGAAAACTACTTGAGACATAAACAGCTGTGTGATGTCATTTTGGTTGCTGGTGATCGTAGAATCCCAGCTCACAGGTAACCTTTCTAAGTTTCTACATGTGTGGAATATTCTGTTGATAATGTAGTTACATGTGGTGAGGTAATTTACTCCAGTTGACTGGTGGGCTTTAGAGAGGACTCTATCTCATAGAATGTCCATGAAGAAAACAGTCCATATGAAATTACTGAACATTAAATGTTCCTCGTTTTCTTTTGTAGAAACAAAAGAACAGCCTCAGCTCAGTCAGTACCATTTGGTATAAATTTCAGCTACTAGAAAGAGTTTTCATGCCATAATTCCCCTTATGCTTTAAATAATCTTAATGGAAATTAGAGTTTGTGGGTAGCTAGAAGAAAATAAGCTTGCAGAATGAGGTTCCTAAAATGTTGACAGTTTTTCAATTTTGTCATTGTGATGCTGTAGGTAGAGCCCAGGCCTGCATGCTAAATACACACTCTAACCACTTAGTTACACCCCTTCCCCTTACAGGTTTTAAAAAGTCCTATGTTCCTTATTGCATTAGTCAGAGTTCTCTAGAGGAACAGAACACACAGAATGAATATACATATTCAAAGAATTTATCAGCTTACTTTGAAATTCTAACAACAGCTGAATCACACCTGAGTTCCTCAGTCCTTGAGGCTGGGTGGGTAGCTCAGCAGCTGGAGGAGTCCCACGGTGGCTGTTCTACACTGGAGGGGCAGAGACCTCAGTAGTTGCTCAGTCCAGAGACCTGGGTGTCTCAGCAGACCCAACCTAGCATTGAAAACCTGGTGGGTTCCTGATAAGCCACCAGTCCATAACTAGTGTTAGAAGCCTGGAAATGCTGGTTCTGATGTCAGTGAAGGAATCACCAGCAACAGGATCAATCAACTCAGCGAGAGGGAAGGCCAAACAAGCAAAAGGCAAATAATCTTCCTTCTATCATGCCCCTTTTATCTGGGTTGCTACCAGAAGGTGCCATCCACATTTGGGGTAGGTCTTCAGTTAAGGCAATAAAGCAAATTCCTCAATTGAGGTTCCTTCTTTCCAGGTGACACTGGTTTGTCAAATTGACAAACACTAACCAGCACACTTACTTTTGTTTGCTAATCTTTATGATGTGTGAAAAGTAGTATGGGGGCAGAGGGATCATTTAACACAAATGATGTATTATTTCTTAAAGTAAGAAAAAGAAAACATTATTTAACAAAGAATAATTCATTTTCTTCTGATAATTATATTTGTCCAGTTATTGTTAATCAGCATTGTGATTCCCAAAGGCTTTTTCCTTTTGCCTGTCAACATTGACTGTCTAAACCCTTTGTAAAACCTTCCAACGTGGAAATAAAATTAGTAGAAGGAATGGGCTTAGTTTTATGGTTAACAATTAGCATACATGTATTGACATACTCCTATATACACTGTGAGGAAAAGGTCCATCTTGTGAAAATACATTTATTTTTCAAAAGTTTAACCTGAATTTCCTAGCAGCATCTCAGTCTGTAGTTGCTCTAAACTCATTATTCTAGCTGCCAGCTGGTGTGACACCACCATCTCACATAGCTTCTTCATACAGGAGGCTCTCTGCCTCCACCTCCTCCTGCATTGTGTTTAACACAGCTACTTGAGTAATCCTTTAAAGTGCAGCATAACTCCAGTTACATCTCTGATATGACCTTTCAATGACTCCTCACGTCCCTGAGTGTGAATGCCAAAATGCACTTGGTGACCTGTGTGACCCAACTTGCCATTAGCTCTCTCATATTTGGTCCCACTACTGTTCTCGCCAAGAGCCAGGCAGACCCCTTGGTTTCCTGTACACTTAGGTGTGCTTCCTCTGTCTTTGGACTTAGGCACTGGCTGTTGCTTCTGCTCAGATGCTATTCTTAGATACCTACATGACTAAATCCATCATACCTACATGACTAAATCTGTCCCTTCCTCCAATAATGATAATCTTAAGTAACAGGTCTACCCAAGCAAGTTCATTTATCTTTGTCCTATTGTTTTTCCTTGTAACACTTACCACCTTTTAATTAACTGCCATTTTCTTGTATTCATTACATATCCCCCTTCTAAAATTTAAAATTCTGTAAAGAAGGGTTCTTGTCTGTTTTGTGCACTGAAGTGTCTTGAATTTCTAGAACAGTGCTTATTACTTGTTAGATGTTCAATGAATGAATGGATGAAGAGACAAATCTTTGAAGAAGGAACCTGAATGGTAAAAAAAAAATATTTGAAAAATTGTTCAACCACACTTACAGTCTGGTGAATAAAAACAAAAACAATAAGATAATCATTTAACATTTCATAGGTAGCCCAAAATTTTAACATCTGGCAATACTGGTTGGAGGTTTAAATTCTAACAGTCCTTTGGAGAAAAATTCAGCAAACTTTGTGACTCAGCTTTGCCACTCTGAGATGAGAACAGACACAAAGGGAGCTCTGTCCATTGTTTGTATTGTTAATTTTTATTTCTTAGAAAAATGAATAAAAGTTGGATGTGATGGCACACACCTTTAATCTTAGCACTGGGGAGGCGGAGGCAGCCCGTTCTCTGTGAGATTGAGGCCAGCCTGGTCTACATAGTGAGTTCCAGGCCAGCTAGGGCTAAAAACAAAAAAAGAACAAAGAAAATTTATATAAGTGTACTAGCACAGAAATATCCTCCAGACATATAACCATGTGAAAAATACATGTTTCATAAAGTATTCATATTACTTTATATTTGACTCAAAAATCTGGCAGAGATTTAGTTAGTGTAATGTAACAAAACAGTTTTTCAGTACTCTAACATAAATATAATTTTGTTATAATATACTATGATAATAAAAATGCTTAAAAAGTTAAAAATACTATAAAATTACTCCACACCCAGTATATGGGCAGCACAAATTGGACTTGGTAGGTTATTTAAAAAAGAAACAAGTTGGAGGTTAAGGAGGTGGGGTAGATCTGGAAGGAGTTAGGGGGAGGAGCAGGGGTGAATATAACCAAAACACATTGTATAAAATTCTCAAAAATTAATTAAAATATTTTTTAAATTATTACAGAAGTTGCTAGGCCATTTTCAAGAACCTCCTATATATTCACGACTTCTGCCCCAAATGGTAAAGAGAAAATACCATTTTTCTTTTTTCTATCGTCAACTTAATACTAAAAAGGCATATAACTTTTAAAGAAGCTGTCATAAAGTGGTATTTGCATAGTGAATAGGTAAATCACTTACCTCAGCAGAAAGTTTTCAGTAATGGTAATTTATTATTCAAAGGAAGGAAGTAGAGCATAAAACAGTTTGTCAGACTTAGAGTACATTTCCCAATACCATGTACTTTCCGTGAGCACCAAATAAAAAAGAAGAGAATGCATTCATTAGTGAACATCAACTTTAATGTGGTCATTGATTTTTGTTTCTAATGTATTCTCAGATTGGTGCTCTCCTCTGTCTCAGATTATTTTGCTGCTATGTTTACTAATGATGTCAGAGAGGCAAGACAAGAAGAAATAAAAATGGAAGGCGTTGAACCAAGTTCACTGTGGTCCTTAATTCAGTATGCATATACAGGTAAGAAGTCAGGAAATGTAAATTAAAAGTGTTGAGATTTATTTAGTATAATTAGATTTCAGGTTTCTTTTCTTTTACTTTCCCCTTTCTTTTCATTTTTGTTTTGTTTTGTTTTGTTTTGTTTTGTTCTTTTTTAGGCAAGGTCCTATATCTCAGGCTGGCATCCAACTCACTGTGTAGCCAAGGCTGGCCTTGAACTCCTGATCCTTGTGGCTCCCCCAGATTTCAGATTTCTCTTTTCAAAAAGCATGCTGTAGTTCAGTTAGCTCTACTGTTGTGGGCACCTCCCCTGAAGATACCTGGTATGGGTTAAAATCTTCATATTGAAACCTTTAAAATGATTATCACAATGAAGTTTTTGAGCAGTATTTTTAAATAGTAATATAAAATTTACATAAGTTGGGGTTGGAGAGGGCTTAGTGGGTAAAAGCACTTTCTGTGTAAGCATGAGGACCTAAGTTAGTTCCTCAGCACCCACTTAAAACTTGGTTGTGGCTGCTCATCCTGGTGACCCCAGTGCTACAGGGACAAGATAGAAGGATCACTGGGACTTACTGGCAACCAGACTAGATAAAGACTCTGAACTCTAGGTTCACTGAGAGCCCTGTCTCAAGGAAATAAGGCAGAAGAGTGATAGAGGACACCTGATGTCCTTCTCTGGCCTCTGTGCACACACATGCACATTACACATATAACACACACAGAGATACATACATACCACACACATACACGTCACACACATACAGCATACACATACCACATGCATAATATACACACAGATACATGCACACCATTCACATCACACACATACAAATTACATGAGTTATGCTATACAGTCAGTTTTTTTATTTGGAATTTTTGAGACAGGGCCTCTCTATAGCCCCAGCTGGCCTGTATGTAGACCAGGCTGACCTTGAACTCACAGAGATTCACCTGCCTCTTGTCTCCTGAGTACTGGGATTAAAGATGTGTACCACCATGCCCGGTGTGATATAGTCAAATTTTTACATTGAAAATTTGAGAGTTATATATAGTAGATATTAATTACTTATTAATGCATCATTTTAAAATTCTGAAAATAAGCCATTAGTTTTTAAAGCAGAGGTCACAAGAAGATTAAAAAATTCACATTTAATACTTGCTTTTTGAAATGTATTAAGCTTTCTAGGTTGGTAATATGTGCAATGAGTTCTCATTTAAACGTATTACTATTAACACCAGTTATTTTATAAAAACAAGGTCCGTGGAGTTCCCCAATTAATGGAATTTCTTTTTATTATTAAGGCCGGCTTGAACTGAAGGAAGATAATATTGAGTGCCTGCTGTCCACAGCCTGTCTTCTCCAGCTTTCACAGGTCGTGGAAGCATGCTGTAAGTTTTTAATGAAGCAGCTTCACCCATCCAACTGTCTTGGAATCCGCTCTTTTGCTGATGCTCAAGGTTGTACAGATTTGCATAAAGTGGCTCATAATTACACCATGGTATGTATTTTTTGAAAAGTGGAAAGGCATATCCTTCTTGCTTCGTTTCTTATCATTGAAAGCTTGTCTTTTCTGTTTTCCATTTCTGTTTTCCCATGGCTTTGCCACAAGTTTTGAAGTTCAAGTTCGTGACTTAGCATCAAATGATGCTAAGGCAAAAACACCAAGTGTCAGAATCCTAACATGCTAGGCTTATTCCATTCAAGATTTTTCAGTCTGTTGCTGCTGCTGCTGCTGCTGCTGCTGCTGCATGTGTGTGTGTATATGTGTGTGTGTGTGTGTGTGTGTGTGTGTGTGTGTGTGTGTGTATTTCATGCAGAACATCCCAAACAGTATTATTCATCTTTATACCCGCATCCCAAATGGCACCTTCACATAGCCTCACCGCTCCCCAACTGGAGCCCATATACTCGGTCACTGTTCACTGTGTTGTCAGTGCCCCCAGCCACTCCCCAGTGCAAGTCCAGCCACCAAGTCTAGTCAGCCTATCCAGAGTCCTTTGTTTTAGGAAGATGAGCTCTTCCTCATCTAGCAGCAATCAGTTGCCAACATTCTTTAGATAAGATTGGGGTCTGCAGTTCATTTTCCCAGTTCTATGCTGGGTTACTGTCTGGGAATCTCTTGGGCTACCCTGGCCAACAGCTCAAAGGAAGGTATCTCCTGTCTGGCATTGTTTCTTCTTATGTACCCTTTAGCTATGCACATCTACTCTTAAAGAAATATACTGATCATTTAATCTTTGGTTATACTTTCCTTTTGGGTGTTTAAGACCATACAGTTGGCCCAAATAAACCAATTTGTTTTTACTCTTAAGGTCATTTGAGGATCTGTTCCTCAGGGGCCACATGGGCCTGGGAGAAGCCCCTGGCTCCTTTCTTTTACCAGTTCCACCTATGTGAAGATAAGTCAGAGGTCCTGCTCAACCGTGGCTAGCTTCACTTGGAAGCATGGAGAAAGTCTGCTGCTTTTTTGAAGCAGGGTTTCCCAAAACATTTTACCCTGTAGCACAGAAAAATTTCAGCTCCATCAACATATTCACTGATGAAAATTGGTGGTAGTGGTTGTAGTTTGTTGGTACAGTACAAGACAAATGATCAGAGGACGAATGAGAGACTTTATTTGAGGTGAATTTGATTATGTGCAAGAAGTGTTTGTCACCATGTAGAACAACATTCTTATTAACCATAATGAATGATGTATTCAAAATAAATCATAAAGGAGGTTCTGATTCAGTAGCCTGGAGAATAATGAGATATGGATTGATCTAGAATAGCAAGAAAACAGGAGCATATTGGATCTTACTAGGACCAGCCTTCCCAGTTTCAGCGGTAGAGAGTGCAGGGAAGGGAGGACATACAGGCTTTTCAGGAGTCGACTCTCTTGCCACACTATTGGGCAAGCAAGAATGAAAAAGTGTTGCCTTAAATGCTTCAACTGGAGCCACCGAGTTTCTAAGAAGAGAAAGAGCCTGAACATTCTGTACATCTATGCAGTTACTCAAATAAGTAATTTTTTTTTTGCAGTTACTCAAATAAGTAATTTTTTTTTTTTTGCTTTTTGTTTTGTTTTGGTTTTGTTTTGTTTTTTTTTCAAGACAGGTTCTCCTTGTAGCCCCAGCTGACTTGGAACCCACTATGTAGAACAGGCTGGCCTTTATCTCACAGAGATCTGCCTGTTTCTGCCTCCTGAGTGCTGGGATTAAAGGTACACACCATCCCACCCGGCTCAAATAAAGTGATTTAAGATTTAGGAAATGTTATTTTTGTCTACCTCCTCCTCCATCTTCCATGCATCTTTGAATTAATTTGCTTGGGAAGAGATTCTCAGTGCTTAAGCAAACAGAAATTTGAAAAGCTCTAAAGATACCTACAAACAGAAGCATTCACATAATGCCAGACTTTTACCTTGTAATCACTTCTGAGGACTGAGTCCCATTTGTGATTATCATGGGGCCTCCAGTTAAAAAACAAGAGATCGTGCAACTGTCCAGCAACACACAGAATTAACATGCTATTAGATAAATGTTTTTAAATTAAGTACTTGAATTCTCCCTGCCCCCATCCCCAGTCTTTATACTTCTTCATAGATTTTTCATTTCTTCTTTATTATTTTTATTTTATGTGTATGAGTGTATTGCCTGCATGTAAGTGCACTCATGTCACACAGTGCCCATGGAGGTCAGAAGAGGGTGTCAGATCCCCTGAAGCTGGAGTTAGGATGGTGGTTAGCCATGCGGGTGCTAGAATTCAAACCCAGGTCCTCTGCAAGAGTAGCCAGTGCTCCTAAACACTGAGCCATCTCTCTAGCCCCAGATTTTTCAATTCTTAGTTTAAAAATATTTTATTTTTATTTTAATGTGTATGAGTGTATTGCTGTATGTATGTAAGTGCACTGTGTCATGAAGTGCCCATGGAGTCAGGAGAAGGTGTCAAATCCCCTGAAACTGGAGTCATAGACAGTTGTTAGCTGCCATGTGGGTACTGGGAACCAGACCCGGGTCCTCTGCAGGAGTAGCCAGTTTATTTTAACCTTATTGCTACAGTTTCAAACACCCTCTGGAATGACATAAATATAAATAACTAAAATAGAGCTGGGTTGTTTTCTCTCTAATAAGTTTATAACTTAAAGACTCATTCCTATGAGGGAATTTTAGGCATGTGAAAACATTTGTATGCATTTAGGTCATTCCTGTTGTTTACCGTAGAGGCATAATTGCTGCTTTAAGGCTTAGATGTTTTAAAAGCTATTTTCATAGCCAATTAGTTGTGGTAGATTTTTTTATGTCAAGGTCATTACTTGACATTACTTAGTTTCAATAGAGACATGAAATGGAATTCTAATAACAATAGGTAATTTAGAAGCAGATTGTCTGATGTGAATGTTGCTATGGGAACTGAATAAAAATGTATAGCAAAATTCAATCTTCAGTTTAAATAAATCCCTCAGTAATTCATTTACTTAAAAACTATCCTGAAGGGGAAAGGGGCAGTTGTAGGAAGTGTCTGGAAGCGTGACTTCTGCTTGTATCATAAAATGGTTTTAAAATATGAGATAAGCGCAGTGCTCTGCCAGTGAGTCCCACCAGTGAACAGTGCTGTGCTGGCAAGTTCAGCAGTCCTGTACAAGCACTAACAGGCCCAGACAAGAGTCCCTTCTCAGGATGCTTGAGTCTTGAAACTTCTGCTCTAATTCTCACCTCTGAACATGACCTGGAGCAATTCATTTAACCTCTGCAAGAGTGTAGACTGGCTTACCGTCACACCTACTGAATGTCATTATACTTTTACTAAACAAACATGAACATTTAATTTTAAATTTTAAAGTTTTATAAGACTTATAAAATCATTGAATTCTGCTAAAATAGCTGCTTTAAAGCCAAATTAATGCTTTTGAAAAGAACTTTGTGTTTAAACTTGGGTTCAATAGTATTGTATAATTTAGTGAAAAACTCAGCTTTCACAATATAAATTATATATTAGCAGTTCATCAAGTGACTATAGGTAGCCTCTTCTTACTGATGAAATGCAATTCATATCATTTGAAAGTATAGCAATAGTCATGTTGGTATTGTACAAGCGTGTTGAGATAAGGGTCTCATTACACATGCTATGCAGGCCTCAAATTCACAGTCCTCCTGCCTCAGCCTCATGAGTGCTGGAGTTATACAGTTGTGTGCCACCATGCCTGGCTACACTATCTTTTTAAATGACCAGACATGTCTATTTTGATTTCTTGAGACTTTTATGTAGCATTATATAGCAAGTATCTTTACATATAATTATATGATCTTTGTCTTTCAAATTCCTATTGCCTGTTAATAATTCATTCAGTTACAGCTCATATAGTTGGACATTTTGGCTATTTTACTATTATAAAAGAAGCATTGGTTGGGTATTTGACTTTGTTTTTAACTGTGTGAAATGTTTAATAAGGATTAAGTGACAAGTGGAATAAGTGACTGAGAGTTCTAACTTTTTTTTTTACAGTGCTGGGGATTGAACCCAGGGTCTCACCCATGCTAGACAAACACTTTACTACTAAGCTATAACTTGAGTCCAGTTTTAATATTACTTTGTAGCTCTTCCTGTGTGTTACCAAATCGTTTTATAATGTCAGTGTGCAGTTGAGTAGAATAGTTTGCTTGGAGTCATTCCAGCACTGAAATTTTATTGAAATATATTCCTGAAAATGATAATCAATCATTTAAAGTAGATTCATCTGGGTATCTTTAACAAATCATGATAAATTGGAGCAATTGAATTTAGTTAATTATTCATGAATGGTTTTCCTCTTAAGACTTTCTGCTGAAAGGAATGTCAGCCCAAGATATATTTTAGATCAGTATCTCACTTGGGTTACTGAGGCTAAATAGAAATATGGTTCTCATTTTATTATGGAAGATGGTTGTTGGTAGACCTTATCTCTAGCTCTGATTTATTTTTTAATTTATTTTGTTTATTTATTTATTTATTTATTTATTTATTTATTTATTTATTTATTGATTGATTGGTCTTTTTGAGACAGGGTCTCCTTGTAGCCCCAGCTGTGTTGCAACTCACTATGTAGACCAGGCTGGCCTCTGCCTCCCGAGTGCTGGTATTAAAGGTGTGCACCACCACGCCTGGCTTCTAGCTCTAATTTAAACATCCATAGCTACTTTACTAAAACCCTGTGTGCTGAGATGGACACTACATTGTAAGGAAAATATTAAGGGATCATACATCTAGCATTTGCATTTATATCCATGATGTAAACTATATATTAAGACTTAAACTTGCTGGGCATGGTGGCACATACCTTTAATTCCAGCACTAGGGAGGCAGAAGTAGTTGGATCTTTGTGAGATCAAGACTAGCCTAATCTACATAGCCTGCTAGGGCTACAGGGAGACCCTGTCTCAAAACAAACAAACAAGACTTACAAACTTCAAAGCAGGGAGTAAGATTTCTTCCTCTCAGGCTGGAGAGATAGCACAGCAGTTAACAGCACATACTGCTTTT